TACGGACTGCATATTGGAGATTACTCGACACATAAGGGCCAAATACTATTTTTGAAGAACATCTAATTGCATCTTCTAAGCCAAGCACCAGATGTGACTGCAGGAAACATAATCTATTTACTCATAGTATTGAAATGTAATCGCCACTTTAAACCAAGCACCAAGTATGAAATACAAAAGCTAGTCCCTATTTTTAGTCCTAGGATTAAGTGCTATAGGGCCCTCCAAACACCACCCAGTGATTAATTCATCAACCTAGCATAGCCAAATAACAACCACAACTCAACATTATTCACTCTCTTTTTCCACTTGGAAAGGATAGATGTCTTACTCTTTCGCTTGAATCTCCGACTTGTGCCTGCTGCTGCGTGACATCCACAGAGGATAAAAGTCCTACTGTACTTTCAATGATGTCAGGAATAGGCATAGCCTCTCCATAGCTTGACATTGTACTGTCAGGCATGACAAAATCTCCAAGATCATAATCTACCATGTGCTGAGATGTTGCATATAAAGCTCCAGCTGATATTGTGTCTCCATTGCATGCCGAGAATGTAGGGCTACGAATAGAGCTAGCCTGTCCATCAAATGACATCAGATTCTCAGAGGAAGAAAACTTTATTGCATTTTTCGTCATCACTGTATCAAGTTGGTCCTTCAACTTATGAACCCGACTATGTACAAGTTCAATTTTGCGAAGGATCTGCTCAAGAAAACTATTGCTGCTTTCCAGAATTGACAAATCATCATCATTACCAAACTCATCATGGCCATTGGATTTCTGTTCTGCCAGTGCTATGTCAGAAAGAAAAAAAAATCAACATAAGGGACATCCAGTGAAACTATATTACCAAAACAATTTGTTAACATATCTATGCCTTTAGTAAAGATGCCAGAAGGACAAACACTTTAAACTCAACATTAAGATTGACATACTTTTGAGCATAAACTGTAGTGAAGTTGTTCAAGTCCTTATTCGGAATATTTAAACTTGGGCAGACGTGAACTTGACATCCTCGCTGCTCATTTTCGAATTTCATAATTACCTATAATACTTTGTTTGATGAAAGAATAAATATAGCAGACAGAGCACAGGCTTATATTCTATATTTCGAAAGTTTATCATTCATTAACTAGTTTTATGCTGATAGACACAGTCGGAGCACAAGTTATATGCACTTCCAAAATTCTAGAGCTTTAAACATGTCAAACAAAGTTCATAACATCTGAGCTAGAACTATCTGGAATATCATGCGTCATTGCTCTCCGAAGTATGAAGATAAGAAGGTCCGTGCATACTGCACAGAGATTTAGTAACTAGTCATAAGTTAACCGTTAAGCGTTACATGGCTCAAGATAATCACCTTCAAGCTTGAATACATTACTGGCGCATTTCCGGTCTATGCCAATTTAGGGCCTATGGTTTTCAAAAGGGTGAATCTTCCTTGGTAAGAAAATGAAAAACGCAAAAGAGTTGCAAGTGAGCCCACAGTGCATCATGCATGACTACAATATGAGTTTCAATCAAAATGAGACACATCAGAGCGTCATTGCAGTTTCGAAATAACAGGTCCAACTCTTTTCTAGGGAACAACGACAACCAAAATTAATATAGGCACAAATTTGTTCTACAATTGCCTATGGGCAATGCACGTGTAGGTTATTCAACCAAGCATGTTACTCTATTTGGAGTGACATGTAAACTTGAGGAACATGCCAGAGGGTTTTGACAAAATTATAAAACAAATTTGCAACTTATGTTGCTTCAAAATGTGTGACCATAAAAGAATTGGTTATTCAAGAATTGAACGTTCCAGGAGAATGACGGAAACATCAAACATTAGTTAAGAGAAAAGAATTCTATAAAGGTATCAGAATTTCACTTTATCTGCCCCTAAAAAGATTAGTATTTCCTTACCAATCAACAAACTAAAAAAAAAAAAGGAAAGAAAAAAAATATTTTATTTGGTTTTTTCTCATTGACAAGCGGACATTGTAAGCAGGTAGGCAACCTAGGTGGCTGAAATAACAAACCAAAGGCAGAAGAAATCCCAGCAATCCATACTCTCTTCTACAAAGGGAGAAGCAGAAGATAAATGATATGAACTCATTTACTGGTAAATAATTATGGGAAAGCGTGAACATTTATACATACCTGCATTACTAATATCATCTCCAGCTGGTGTACCATCCAAATCCAGCTTTTTATTTTCTGCAAGATATCACATGCCAAAATAGAACTTATCATGGTGGCAAGAGACATCGGTTGCCAAGCAAAAATAGAATGGAGAAGAAATCATACCAAAATAAGAGAAAAGGTTATGAGTGGACATTTGTGCTGCAATATCTGTTCCATCCTCAACTCTTTTCCTCTTTCTCCTCTTCATGGTTTTTTTCCTGTGCCTTGGATAAACAAATGGCAATGATTTCGAGCCTGACTCTTCCAAAGTAGCTTGATCTAATGCCCTATGTTTTTTCCCATCAAGCGCTGATATCTCTCTGTTGTACCTTGCTGCCTGCAACTGAAGCTCTTTCATCTTGAGTTCTGCCCATTTACACCGCCACATTATGGGATGTATAAAGTCTCTCCAGTGAGCAGTTAACTTTTTCTCCTGAAATATGTAAGCAGTCAGTTGAACACAATCAAATATTTACACTGTTCGACTTCAGTTAGCTCACGCATGCTGTAAGTTACTTACCTATATCGCCTATCAACTAAATCAAGCAGAAATAACGTCTTCTAGTAAAGGTATAAATAAGGAAATTCCCCAAAGGGAATTTAAAAGTAAACCAAAGCTAATTCCATTCCATGCGGATGCGTTATATCGTTTACAGCTTAAAGCAATTTCTCCACATAATACAAGAGTCTAAATGTTTAAAAGCTCAGATCTCAGGGGACTCTATACAAGGACCTGACAAGCCTAAAAGTACACAACAAGCTTTGAAACAACTGTCAAGCTAAAAGTGGATGCTGATTGAGTTAACGCTTGATAAGTTCCTCTAAGAAAGCACTGTGATTGACGTATTGAAAGAGGTTTAAAGATCATAAGCAGTAGTACTACGAGTTAATTTTAACGCAGGACGTACATATTTAGTGGTATTCTACGCACTATATG